AATTTCTTATATTTTATCAAAAAAGTTAATAACTATTGTAGTTACAATTATGGAGATGTTAATTTGTCGTATGTGTAATTCTTTTGTTTTATAAGAATTGTTATATCATGGGTAACTTTGAAATTTAATTGCATTTAATTCCGAAACACTCGTCAAACCAATCTAGATATTGGAATGAAAAATATGTTGTATTTATACCCCCTGAACTTGTTTGATCCTTAATGCCTATGCCTCTCCCTTGTTAATACTAATTGTCAAGCAAGATCATGGCAAAATTGGAAAAAAATTTTTATCTCACTTCTACAAATAATTTTTTAATGGGACATCAAGCCTCAGGGGAGGTTTCTGCAACGAATTGTTCCTATTCAGGGGTGCTGAATGCCATTTCTAAACCTAGAGGAGAGGTCAGTGCAAGTGTCAGAAACCTCATGGGAGGTTTCTGCAATTATCCCTTTCGAAAATGATACTGGTACTTGATTACTATTAGTAGAATATCCACTGTTGATATTCTAAGGATTTCCAACCTCTATATAAGATCTTGAACCACTCCACTCATTTGTCAATTAATTTTGAAACGGTGGTCCAATCCTTTATCATATATACTACTAACATCGATATGTTTCTTATTTTTTTTATGGTTAAGTTTAATCGGATTTTACGAAACTCGGAAGAGTCCATGAAGTGACGCTACAAGTCGTCCAAATCTGAGCCCGAACTTTCGATATCAAAGTTTATGGGCTAATTCTTGTGGGCACAGCATGCTACTTCAACCATGAGTCCTCTGGTAGGCCCAAACTTCATACGTTTCACGAAAGCACTACTTTGAAGCTGCCATTTGTAGATGGAAAATAATCACTCAGAATTTCTTTGTAAGCTCTTTCCAGAGCAATAGTACTTGTATACATTAAAAAAAAAAAAAATCTTTATTTTGAGCCGTTTTAGGCTACTTCCTTTAGGCAATATTCTCCTTACCCAGCATAAAATAAAATATATATATATATATTGATTGGTTAATCCAACCGGACACATGCTGTGCTAAAAAACGACAGGTCCACTTGGACAGTAAAACATTAATCGTGATTAGCTTCTTCTTTTTAAGTAATTCCGACGAGCATGTGTGTGTGTGTGTCAAATGAACTGATTCCGAGCGGCGTAAGTCTGTCCAAATTGCCATGATGAGGGGACAACGTTGAAGAACTCCAGCGTTCTTCCATTGACTAACGTGACTCTGAAAGAAAGCGTCTGGCCTCGAACGTCTACGCTGATTTGCCAGTTTGCACCCCAATTCCTGTGCATGGCCGCCCATGTTCTTGTTCCTGATCCCCTGATCCATACACTCTTGATGTCACCGCCTCCGCCCACGTTTGAAATCATCACCATGTTGAAATTTGATTGCCCCTTCAATGTGAAACGAACTCCACCACTCCTCCTACAAGACACCCTGAATATTCCAAATTTTATTTTAAATAAAAAAATTTGTTTAGTAACATGCAAGGGTATATGTATGTACGTAATATACTAATTCCGACAACATGCATCATAGATACAACATGTTTTTGTAAGAGAATGCCTCAAACAAGTGGCATGGTGGACAAAGTTAGAGAGTTTGATTTATCCAAACAAATGATAATAGAGAAATATTTAGTTGATAAGACGTTTCACCATTTTAAGATTAGTCCTCTTTAAGATTCAAGAAGCAAAAAAGTGCGAAACCACTATGGTCAAAAATATTTGCATGACAAATGGGATTTGCACGGAGTGATCTCACGCATTTTGTGGTGGCAATCAAAGTTTATTTGGTAATTAAAAAGGGTGCGATGTAAGAACCTTCTATAAAGAACTGGAACAATGCCTTCGTTGCCTTGTCGCGCTATCCGCAGGAAGGCAGGCATGGACATGTCAAAGTGGTGGCGGGGAGGATCACACCAGCCGCCGTGGTGGTTTGGAGGGCAGAAGTTGGTGGTGGTGACGGTGACGGAAGCACGAGGAAGGCACCACCTCCGATCGAGCCTGGAGTTGCACATAACTTGGTAACAAGCACCACATGCCTCGCCACCTCTGAAGAGTGCACCACTTAAAGCTGTTGTGTACACACCAAAACCTGCCTGATATGTGTTCTCATACCCGCAAGCTCCACCTAACAAAAACATTATCCAACCCAACTTTAATCATCAGAAATTGGATATCTCAGGCCATCACTTAGTGTGCGTTTTCTTGTTTTTCTTTTGTTTGTCTCCAAGAGATGGAGAAAAGATTATGTGAAACAGACTTGACGATGTATAACACATTAAAAAGAAGAGAGGATGGAACCTGCATGTGAAAGACGGCTAATGTGAAAAATCAGTTAAAACAAACACTAAAAAATGAATGACATGTATAAACCAAGTCACTACTCTGTTCCTGAGCGATCTCATTATAAGGGTCCGTTAATTCATTGTTCAGAACAAAATGAGAGACGAGCATCAATCTTAATCTTGCATGATAGTCGTATACAACATTAATTATATGCTCAATATTTATTATCCTGGAAAACAAAAGGAAAATTTTTACTCCAAGGATGTTATAGGGAGGAAATCATGCAGAACAACCTAAGAGAAACAAGCGTGTGTTTGCGAGAGTATGCACGAAAGAGTGCTTTCGAGGTTATATATGGACCTCATGGTATGGTTCATTTGCAATATAAATTGGAGCCATGCAAAAACTTTCTTACCAAGGGTGCTGGGATCTTGATTAATTCCATAAAATGTTGCACGAGCATGAAGCCAACCACGGGCTTCAACATTGATTCCCTCGAAAACCACGACATTAATGAACAAAAGAAATTGGCAGAGCAAAACACAACATTTTTTGGCTTCCATTTAGTACGAGTTCTTCTCAACGAGAACTGCTTCACAAGCAAAGCAATGCAGTTTGTTGACACTTAATCCTATAGCTACTTGAGTTTCTCGGAGAAAGTGCGAACCTCTCGGCTTATATAACAACCTGAAGGATGAATATATGGTCCAAGGTAGGACGCGGTTGTCGGTGATTATTATTCAATCAACTTGTGCCGACGCTACCATTAATGGTAACAGTTTTTGAAGTGCGCGTTTTATCCCACTTCCCTTGAGGTACGGAATTGTACGTACTTGTGCTTCAACATTCTCAGGATCAAGAGCAAGAAAGCACAAGCATGTGCTTCTGTGATAAAAAAGTCATACGTCCTCATATTCTGTTTCATGGTATACTTGTCGGTGTTTTCATTCTAGATTGGCGTTCATACCAAGTAATTCACGGTTTTGGTTCAAATAATCTTACAAAATGAGCGAGTTTAATTAGTGCATTGCTCTGTCCTCCATTTTTTCATAGTAGTTAATGCATTATTTTGTTTTAATCTTGGTGTCTGTTCTTAACTGATTTTGATCTTTGAATAGCCAAAATCAGAATTAGAAGGATAGGTATCTTGTAGTTTCTAATTCTGACTTTTCTTCACTTAAAAAAAAAAACTAAGGCGGCGAAAAAGAAAACAGTTGAGAATGTCAGATTCCTGATTTTCTGAACTAAAAGCAAATAAGAATTTGTTCTCAATCGAACCTGCTTTTAGTTCAGAAAATCAGGAATAAGAATTCGGGCTTGAGAGGGTTGTGAAGAGACGCTACTTGGCCTCCTAATACTAAATGATTTTCTCCGAGCAAACTAAAGTTGTTAGCAGTGGTAGTACGATAAGTAATGACTGTACTTCGTTGAGGATGTTTCCTAGGGGATGGTTTGAAGATAAAGTAATGGGCTTTCGTCTTCCTTTTGTCAGCCAAAACCGTGATGAAGAAATAAGTTGATTCAAGATCTCCGTCGCAAAAGGAGGAAAACCAGAAAGGCAAAGAAATAAAAATAGGAACATTAGGAATTTAGGAGTCAGCTCATGCGTGGCATTTCATGATTCAGTTTCTTTAGCAGGAAGCAAAATAATGTGCAAAAATTTGGGTCCAAATATTTCTAGATATCATCAGCCGACAGCCAATTTAATACAGAAAATTTGCTTTGTTTGCCATGTGCTCCTAAGTTTAATCCGTTTTTGGATTAGTAATGAACTGGGATTCCATGACAGATGATACCTCACGAACTCAGCTACTACCATACTTCTACCTAGCTTTCATTTTTAAATGTGATTCGGAATCCTTAACATGCACTGCAGTTGATTTAAGAAGAAGAAATCAAAGTCATGAGATTCTTTGTTCACTTTATCACATGCACAAAACATTAACCTATCAATGTCCGAGAAGGAATGTTGAATTGGTTGGTAAGGTGAAAAGGATGTATAAATAGGAGGTTTGAATTCAAAACCTTCCACTTATATGTCGTTGACAAACGTGAGAAAGTTCATTTGAAGATGCTAACAAGAGTCAGTTTGGACTAATTATACTCAAGCCACTCACAGTCTCAAATACTACCTCCGAAGTCCAAACCAAATCCAAAATAGTTCCACCAGGACAGGCCAAGTTGTTGGGCAGCCTAATACTATAATACATTACCTAATCCAGGGGAGGCGATCCTGAAGTAACATTTAGGAGATGTTTGGTAAATGAGTACGAGTGTTTAAAATGGGTATCATAGTTAACGATACTTGTGCTTATTGTTTACTAGAGTATTATGGGAATCATTTAATGATAATGAAAGTGTTAAATTTTACTCTCTCCTTATTACTTTGGGCATCAAAATAGTTCACTCTTTGGTTCAATGGAACCCATTTCGATTCCATGCAAGGAGAAATTAAAAGGAAAAAAAATACTCATACCATGATAGGGATTCTGATTCCAATTCCAGAATACAGACCAAACACCTCCTTAAGTATTCATCCAATTCATTGACCTTCTTTTCTTTCCCTCGTATTATTCCAAAAAAATTACGAAATATCTGATTTTGCTAATTAATCTCTTATTCAATCAAACCATTCCGTTGACCCTCTTTGCTTTCCCACGAATTATTCCAAAAAAAAAAAAAATAGAAACTACAAAACATCTGACTTCACTAATTAATCTCTTATTCATTCAAATTCGAAGACTGACAGGGCATAGTGGTTTTCAAATGTTTCAATCGGCAAGAACCTGTCACTCTGCTATAAAACAACTAGCATCAGGTCCAACTTTAGCATTATTTGGGCTCACAATGAATTGCAAACTCAGTTTCTAGCACCATCCTTCAACTAGTTGCGTATATGAAGTTAAACAGGCCCACTCAAATCTTCATAAACACTCCTGCCTTGTTCATCAGTCAGAATAATGTTGATGTGGAAGATGCGAACCCCCCTTTATCTTTCCACTTCAAAGTTCAAATGATAAGGTATCCAACTCAGCCACAGGATGACAGCTAAAACAAGATACAGAGACCCACCAAGAGAAACTTCTCACATCACTAAAAGAAGGGTGAGTAAACCGGGATGACACCCTTTTTTCTTCAACAGCAGTTCAATCTGAGCTTGATATAAGTTTCTAAGTAACAATACTAGAAGATATATCATGTACAGGAGACAAATGTCGTCCGCCAGGTTTTCATATCCAGCTAAAACCTCTAAATTGCTACATGTATCTAATCTCTGTGACTGTTTTTATAAGGACAGTCTCACAATTTGTACAATTACACAAACAAAACTTACATCAGAAAAGTAGAAGGCATAGCACAAAGCAGCAGACAAGGAAGGAGAGTAAATTCCGCATAGACTTTTCCACCTGCAGCTCCTGCCTTCTCATCCTCCTAGGGCTACCATTTACAGTAGCAGGATGGCTAGAGGAAAACAAACTTGTGCCTGAGCTGGCAAACATCCCTGGAAAAACCATTTCCCCAAACATCACGATAGTTGGACTGTAATAACTGGTCATTGCTGTATTTCCAAATCCAGATGGTCCCATGGATGCATAACCACCAAAAGGATGGGGGAAATATGGCTGGTGATGGAAAGGCTGCAACTGTGGCTGAAAGTACTGCGGTTGTTGAAAAGAATCCGGCTGGGATTGGAACAGATTGGCATGAAGTTGTTGGTGTGAATGAGACCCTATTGATGATGCATTACTGGGTAGAGCATTGATTCCAATAGCAGAGGGCCTCTGTGGTATAGCCAAATCCAGTTGGCACTTCCTCGCTTCAGATTCTGGTGACGATGTTCCACGTCCATAGAGAGGAACCAATAGGGAGTTTGAAATGTTAGTCTTACAGACTGGACATTTTGGCCGTTCTTCAGAGTCGAGGGAGGAGCTCTGAACATGGAGCCATTTGTAAATACAAGGCCAACAATAAAGATGACCACAGAGGGTGACCACAGGGTCATGTGCTGAGTCCAGACAAATGTTGCAATCAAAACCTCCATTTAGATTCTCAGAGGCAACAGTCGGAGCTGGAACTGAATTTGATTTCTGCTTAACTGACTCATCTTCTTCAAATTCGAAACTCATGCTCGAATCACTGAAGAACTGCTCAGAGTCCATGGATCTGTTGAAAATCAGGACAGGTCTTATAAACCTCTTATATACAGCTTGATAGACAATAATAAATTAGTTACTTGACAAGACAGAGACATTCTATTAGTAGATCATCCAAATAGGGGCACGGATATGCGCAGCCAAGAAAAGCCATAACAGGTCGAGTTCAACAAGAAATTGGGGGACATATTGGAGGAAATCTAGGGCATCTTAACCTAGTCAAACGCAGATAACACACTATTCTGAACAAAAGTATCAACAAAAAGTAAAGATGCGTAGAAGTGCATTTAAACAAAGATGAAATTTTCAAAGATGTTAAACACTACTATGAGATAAAAGCAAATGTATTATATATTGGTGTAAAAGGAAAGGCAATGGCTTGAAGACATGTATCTATGCCAGAATGGCTCAAGTTAATAACATATTCAACACATGCAACCACTTAGGAATTGCGTTGGTCCCAGTGTCTCCCTTCTTTTAAAGACAACTGAGCATACATCATTACCAATTGAACCTCAACAAGAAAAAGCAACTATAGTGTGCCTAGGGCAAATGGAGTAGAAAACGGAATCGAATTTAGTCCGAGAACAAAAGTTAAATGCACTCCCACTCTCTCTCCTTCCCTATATACGGCTTGAGATTTTGCCAGGTCCGGATGGAAGATAACGACTTTGTCCTACAAGAAGTCTTGTCCTTCCAATAGGCTTATGCAGCAAAAATAACCTTAGGTAAGGATTCTAAGACCCGTATTTCTAGTGATTTGTGATGTAACCTCTCTTGAAACACCAAAAATTTTACCAAAGTTGAGAACTTTTTATCAATATATATATATATATATATATATACACACACCGCCAAAGAAAAAGAAAAAGGACTACCAACAAACACAGATAAACCTTTACCATGATCTTCCAGCACGGCAGTCAATAGATCATAAGCTACCACCAAATCCAGAATTCATGAAGAAAGGAATATTCAAAGCCCTCCTAACAGCACTATGTAACAAAAAGCAAGCAAATTTAATTTCATCCGGGACAAAAAAAAAAAACAAGAGCACAATTTCAGAAAAAGTACGGTTTTTTTTTATCAATTTACTTCATGAGGCAGAGGACTATCAATTACCAGCTGAACAAAATTTTGTTTTTCTTGTTATCAATATAACAATCTAGCTAATTTTACAGATATATTTAGGATTAAAGGAAAAGAAACAAAATATACAAAAGAGTGAGCTAACCAGGAAATCCCTTTAGTCCGGAAATAATCAAACTTCAATTTCGCGGAAATCAAATTTCGCCATCACAAAAACAGTGTAGTATTCTGACCAAGATGTTATACCTTTTCTTACCAAATAAACTAAAAATCCCTGCCATAACTTACAAAACAAGCCACAAACACTTTTTCATTTCAATTTTTCTCAGATAAAGAACGGATCATATTATTCTCCCATAATTCCCAATGATCTATATAACAAGAGAATAATTCCCAGAAAACAAAAGGATACAAATAAGCCAGACATAAAGAAAGAAAAACCTACCAGTTAAGATGTCAGAAGAAGATAAGCTGAAGAAGACTTTGCAATGTCTATAAGGAGAAAAGGGGGCTGGTTTTCTTTTATATTTTGCGTCTGTATTTAAAGATAAGATAAGAAATCAATGAATGTGGAAGTAAAATTGAAATGGGCTAGTGAAGGGAGGCCGATCAAATGAGGAAAATTAAGGGGAAGATATAAGGGGAGGAAAAGTTCAGGAAATGGGGAAGGAGGATGGAATGTGGTGGCGGATGAGGAGGAGGAGGCGAAGAGGGAGAGTGGAAATGATATGGTGGAGAGCAAATGGTGGCGAAGAAATATGAAATGAATGAAAAGATTGTGAAAAAACTGAAAATGGCTGTTTAATATAAAAGCCTAAAGGCGATATAGGGTTATAGCCGCGTAGCTGTTTGTTAGGTTGCCGTGGGCAGGGGTATGGTTGTAGCCTAGAATTGTGATCAAAATTAGTAAAGTCTAGTAGCTTTTATTTTTTCAATTAGTACATTAGATTGTACTTTACACCAGGATTTCGATTACCTCTGAGTACTTTTAATCTAACTGTTCTTGGGTTAATTTCGATTTGTTGGAAGTAGCTTTTATTTTTTCAGTATTTTCAATTTTGTGTGTCACACTCAAACATTTAATTTATGCAAGTAGTAATTTATTAAAATGACTAACGGAAACATTTATTTTTATAAGTTTTTTCCCTTTTTAAAGTAAAAAAACTGTGTCTATGTCAAATTAACCTATGCAAGTAGTAGTTTATTAAAAAGACTAACAGAAACATTTATTTTATAAATTTTTCCCTTTTTAAAATTAAAAAAATTTGTTTCTATCTCAAATTAACCTGAAGATTTTGATCTTCTCGTTATTTATAATTCATTAATGACTCGAAATTTAACCTCATAGAATTGTTCATTTCATTCTATTTAGATCAGTGCCTCGAATTAATCTATTTTCTCTATTCACAAAATTCATCTAAAAGCCACAAAGTTTCACAAAATAAGAACCCACTAAATTGAAACGTAGAAGTAAATTTATTTTTCACCCATATATGATTGTCAATGCCGTTGATCCATATGAATCATGTTTAAGTTGTCGAAAAGTTCAAAAAATATTAATTCATTAAAATCAATTTCTATAATTTTAATTAAGAGCAGAAAAAAGTACACCAAATAAAAAAGATGGACTCGTCGCAAAAGCTTATATGTATGTATGTATATATATATATATATGTAAAGAAGAAACTACAATACAAATTCGATGAAAAAGACGGGTGGGCCCTTGAGATTGGGCAGGCAGCGTCCTTTACACCCTTTATTCCTAACCTGTGCGTACTTGTCTACTTGATTAAGTAAATTGAAGAGAAGGCTTACCGACTTCTTGAATATGGTACATGTTTTTTCCCTCTTTCTGATGGTGAGCAGGTTGGGAAATTAGAAATTGAATATAGTACTTCTTTTTTTTTTTTGTCAAAAATTGAATATAGTACTTGGTTATCTACTTCTTGATTATTTCTATTATGTTACTCAAGTACAGAAAAAACATACCCAATAAAAATGACGAACTCATCATAAAATTTTTTGAATATATATATAATTAATCTTTTATCTACTGATAATATATATTTTTATCATTAAATATATAATTTAAATTTAAATTTAAATTTAAAATCTAAATTCTACATATATTTTATATATTTAATCGTAATAATATATATAAGATTAACTGATATGTACACACATATATATATATATGAGTAGAAGCTACAAAATTGATAATCGGTGGAAAAGACGGGTGGGCCCTTGAAAGTGGGCAGGCGGCGTGCTTTGCTCCTTTTATTCCTAACTTATTCCTAACTTGATTAAGTGAATTGAGGAAAAGGCTTATCTCCTTTTAAAGATGCAATTTTTTTTTTTTTCATTTTTCTGGTGATGAGCAGGTTGGGAAATTAGAAATTGAATATATAGGTGGGGTCGGGATGGGGACCACTTTGGTGGAAGCAACAAAAAAAAAAATCTTAACTTAAATGAAAAAAAGAAAAGAAAAAGGAAGGATGGGCAGGACTCCACCAATCTTTGTGCACCGTCGGATCATTTTTGATCTTACGACGTCTGTCACCCGTGAAGTCAGCATTATGTCACCTTGTTGACTTCCGGTGCTAGGCTTGAATCCGCTAGTTTTTCGAATATTATAAAAATTTTTAAAAAAGACCCTAAAAATTTACTCTAAAATGTAATTTAAATTTTTTTAATATTTAAAAAATATCTTAAAAAATATTTTAAAAACTTTACTACTCTTAAATATTTTAAAACATATTCTAAAAATATCTCAAAATATATTCTAAAAACTCTGTTACAATAAAATTTTTCAAAAACACCCTAAAAAACAGTTAATCCAAATTGAGCCAATTTTTAACGTATTTTATTATTTTTCCTTAGGGCAATTTCCATGTAAACTCCTAAGATGAACACAATCAGAAATGACAAGTGTGCTATGGTGATATTAATCACATCACAAAATGATTTGCGACAGTTTTTTAGAAAATGTATCGTAGTAATTTGAAATGCATGATATAAACGGATAATTGAAAAATATGTTTACGTAAAATTTTTTTATGAAAAATGGCTATCTAAACTAGCTTTTTCCTAAATGAAGGGACCAACACGGGGCTATGCATAAATGTATATGGTTATCGAGTTTACCGCGTCACTCATCATTGAAAATGTGCTGAAGCATAAAGAATAAGAATGAGGAAAGGTATTAGCATATTGTCTTCCTAATCAACGATCACATGGCACAGCATGATCTCAGGATGTGTTTACATTGGCAAGGAATAATTAAGACCCCGTTTGGATTGTATTTGGTAGTTTTCTAAAATAATAATGTAATATTACGTTTTTGTGATGTGATATAACGGCGTGAAAAAATATTTTCAAAATAACCAAAATCTTTTCTGAGCAATACAAACAAGAATTTAGGCCCCCCACATTTATTCACTTTGCGGCCTTTCTCAGATTTTTTCAGTACGAATGTCCACTGTAGAGACCTTGTTACTCAACTTAATCCACATTCAAATTAATATATTGTTTTCTAAAATTTTTGCTTTTAGGGGATTCATGCATTACTTTTCTTAATACTTTTTTGCACATTCCTCAAAATATCATTTCAACAACGAGGATCTGAATCCTTGAAAAAAAATGGTCTTGTTTTTGAAAAATTACTATGCTATTTCGTTAACATATTTTTCAATCACCTTTTTATTATATATATATTAAATTACTATAGTAATTTTTTTAAAAAAATTTGAAAAAAAAATCCAAACTAACCTCGCTTAGATTGCATTTTCTATGATTTTTCATGAAAAAATTACTGTAACGATTTGATGTATGTGAGAGAAAAAGGTAATATAAAAATGTGATCACAGAAAATGACAATCAAAACAGGCCGATCGTTTGACTGATCATGCGAGAAGAACCAAACTTGAGAGGTTAAACGCATCTTAAGACCAGAGGCTGGATAATGTCCATAGGGCATAAGAGTAGGGCCACACTAATTGAGATCAGATGAGACTGCCGTCTAACACAACGCAGAAACGAATCTTTTACTGCTCAATGTGGATGAGACCGCTCTTGTCTTTTCATTTGTTTCGTGTCGGCGAGAACGTACGATTGGATGCCCCGACAAAAACCGAAAGTTTTCTCGTCTTCCAGTCAGAGGTTCTGTTTGAATAGAAGATTATTTGAACAAAAAGGTTATAAGCAGCCTGTATGAACAGGATTGGCCTTTTTATAACCTGAATTTCTATGGTCTAAATATTTAGGATTAATTCCACTTTGTCCCCCCAAACTTTGGACGATTATCCACTTAAGTCCCTAAACTTCAAAATGGGACACTTAAGTCCCTAAACTTATAAGTACCTCCCACTTAAGGAAAATTGTTAACAAATCCTGAATGCCGTGGGTGGTCAAAGTGTCCCATTTTATAAGGGTTTAGGGTTTTAAGTGTCCCATTTTATAAGTTCTGGGACTTAAGTGGGAGGTATTTATAAGTTTAGGGACTTAAGTGTCCCATTTTGAAGTTTAGGGACTTAAGTGGATAATCGTCCAAAGTTTGGGGGGACAAAGTGGAATTAACCCTAATATTTATGTAATGGGTTCAAACTTCACAGAAAAATTTTGATCTTGTTTGGACAGCCATATTTTTTAAAAGAAATTGTTACGTTTTCTATAAACACATTTCTCAATCACTTTTTTATTTCACAGATATCAAATCGCTATAGTAATTTTTCTAAAAGAAATTGCAACACAAACACAACCTTCGATTTTTTTTCCCATGTGACATTCATGTCCCGTTGAAACAGAAAAAGTTTCAAAGCCAAGAATTGACCGTCAAGAAGAGGAGAATCATTTACATGGCTGCAATTGGATTACGTAGGTAGGATGGGAACATCATATAAGAAACTCTGAGATCAAAGCATACAACCATCTGTCGAGAAAATGGAATTGATTTATTATACGCGGCTAAACCAGTTTCTAGTCAAACGAGCATCCAATCTGATTGTTCTTGACGGAGGACGCTAAGAAATGGACTGGAATGAGGCGTTCGGAGCATCTTCCTAAGAACCATCCAACGTGAAGCCTCTTTCCTCGACGTAGACCGTGTAATTCATGTCGGGATCACATGAACTGCTACAGCTTATTTGCTTGAGTTATGAAGCTGCATCAGTAACACGTAAATTATTCACTAGTACAGAGAACGATTTCAATTTGGTAATTTATTATGACTAGAACGATTTATGACTGCATCAGTATACAGAGTGTTCAGGCATGATTGTATTGAGGATCGCTGACAATCATTTTTGTCCTGGAGGAGGGGCTGTCAGAGACAACCGTTACCGGAAGGTTCACGGTTATGATTAGGTCAAAAAAAATTATGGGACTCAGATCACTCCTGGTAACTCGATTTTCACATCGTATGGGACCTACAAAAATATTATTCTAATGTTACTTACTATTGTTCTATTGTTACACCTTATACAAAAAATATTACTATTATTCTATTGTTACACCTTATACAAAAAATATTACACCGTGTGTAAATGATGTCACATCTTTCGAAACGATTGTTCTGACAACTGTTCTAGCCCCGGATCCGTTTGTCCCAAACTCGACCCCCCCTCGTCTTATCGGTTAACAAGAAGCAAAGAATAATAATGGTTCCAGCAGGGTAAACGGCTGCAATTTAAAATGACAACTTGATGTGACGTAGTATAGCATAGTAAAGGCGAATGAGCGCTCCCATGGATAAGAATCATAAGATTTCAACGTCTGAACATGCTCATTGCCAACTCGGCTA